CACACACACACACACACACACACACACACACACACACGTGGTCACACTTGGGAAAATGCTGCTGGTTGGGTGTGAGAGTCACAGAGCCCTGGGGTTCAAGCCCTGGCATTGACTGAGTGACCTAAGTCTCCCTCTGCTACTCTTCCTGGAACGTCCCAGGCCTGGACTGAGAATTATAAGCATGTACAGCTTGGCAAGTGACCCATTCTCAGGAAATGCAGTTCCTTCTCTCCATGAGACAGTGGCCCTGTGGTCAGTGCATTTGTGGTGTGCATGTAGGGGTGAGAGAACCTCAGACCAAGGAGAGGCAGGGTCTTGGACATCCCATCCTGAAGACCCTGGTTTGGTTCAGCTCGGTAATCACACAGACACTGTTGCCACTGGAGAGGACAGAGTTCCATCCTCATCTGCCCACCTATGGAGACCTGCCCAGCCTCCCCTTCCCATCTGAGGCCCAGGGGTTCCACACTTTTGCCCCAACACCACAGGACAAAGGGATGTCTTCCAAGAGGAGAGAATAAGAGAGCAGGCCCGAGAGAGGAAGGCAGGCAGGTTTCCTGTACTCAGGCCCACCCACGTGGGAGGCCGAAGCCCTGCTCCCAGTCCTGCTTTAGGCCCTGCCCGCCGGGGCCTACGCCTACACGTGTAGGTGCATACACGTATAGGTAGGCACTCGTCATCCACCCCACAGGTGCCCCAAGGAGTCACAGGGTTCACGAGAAAAGGGCTGGACTGAAGAGCTGGAGAATTGGGGTAAAGGACTCCTATTTCATTTGGTAGATCACCTCCCCTCTCCGGGCCTTCTTTCTTCATCTAGCAAATGGAACAATGAATCATTCACTCGACAAATACTGAGGGCAAACCATGTGCTGGACGCAGCAGGGAATAAAACAGAAAAGGTCTCTGCTCTCAGGAATTTAGATTGTGGATGGGGAGACAGACAATAAACAAACAAGTGAAAAAGAAAATTTCCTAAATGCTGTAATGAAAATAAAGCAAGGCAAAATGATAGAAAGTTGGAGTAAATGAGAGCCAAGTGCCTTTCCAGGCCACTGTTCTACCTCCAAGGGTCATTTGCTTGAGCTTTGTACCTAAAAAAGATTGCAGCCCCCTTATCTTGAGAAGGACTCCACCCTCACTCCAGGGCTGTCATTGATATCCTAAACCAGAAGAAAGGTTTCCAAATTTTTTGCCCCCAGTCCCAAAATCCTGGTCCTAGGCACAATCCTAGCCCCATTCATTGGCCAAGACATGGCCCCATTTATGACTGTAGACCCAGGGCAGCTGTGCAAATCTTTCAGAGTAGAAGGCTTTTTACGTTAATTTTAATTGAGCAATCTAAGATTTGGGGGGAAAAATACCGTTTTAAAAATATCACTGTAAGTGTATGCATTTGTCAAAACTCTGCAAATGTACACTTAAGATCTGAGCATTATAGGGGCGCCTGGGTGGCGCAGTCGGTTGAGCGTCCGACTTCGGCCAGGTCACGATCTCGCGGTCCGTGAGTTCGAGCCCCGCGTCGGGCTCTGGGCTGATGGCTCAGAGCCTGGAGCCTGTTTCCGATTCTGTGTCTCCCTCTCTCTCTGCCCCTCCCCCGTTCATGCTCTGTCTCTCTCTGTCCCAAAAATAAATAAACGTTGAAAAAAAAAATTTTTTTTAAAAAAAAGATCTGAGCATTATATATAAATTGTATCTAAAAAGAAAAAAATTGCAGATAATGAACCGTAGTTAATGAAATTCTGAAGTATTTAGACAGAAGTGTACCAAGGACTGCAACTTAGTTTGAAGTGCATCTTAAGATGGATAGAGGGATGGATAGGTGGAGGAATGTATGATACAGTAAGTATAGTAAAATGCTAACGGCAGAATCCAGGTGGTGGGTACATAGATGTTCAATGCAAATTTCTTTCAACTTAACTAGGTGTTTGCAAGTTGTCATGATAAAATATTGGGGGAGGGAGGGAATCAGTGTTTAACGTTACAAAAAAGTACACAAAGCTGCCTTTAATTTTCCGACAGCTCTCCCCTGGGACAATTCTGGTGCTTCTCCACATGCATACACCCTGTTATGTAGTCGCCTCGTTTGTATGTCATCGTTATTTCTCACCTATTTCTAAACTTCCTATGTATAGTGCTTAATGTTTGCACATCACAGGAGTTCATATGGGGCATGTTACTTTGGGGGTGCAGGCTTTTTACTGTGTACATTCTCAATGCAGTGCCCAGGGCTCCCTTTCCAGAGAGGGCACACTGGGTTGCAAAATACCAACCCTTTTTCACTGAGAACAGTTAGAGGAACTGGAGGCAACATTTTAAAAAGGCATCGAAGAACTGCCAGGGCAGTGAGCAATTGTGAGGCCAAGGCTGGGGAGGAAGAACTCCAAATGATGAGCCTAATATTGGGATCTCTTTTCCTCTCCCTGGACCTGTCTGCTGATTCTGATAGAAGGCTGATGGGCTGTGCCTAACTGGGATTCCCAAAACTGGCCACATTGCCGGCTCTGCACACTCTTCCAGAGCCTTGCCTCTCCCCTAGCAAGAAGAGTCTATATGCCCTTGAAATGGGGTGGGAATGTCCCCTGACAGAATGTGGCAGGTACTCAGGGGCCCTGTGTGACTCCCAAAGCTGGTTTGGGAAGACTGCACAGCTCTGGCTCCCTTGGGAGGCCGTCCTTGGAACCCGGCTGTCATGTTGTGAACTCTCCTGGGTCACAGGTGTTCTGGCCCACGACCCCAGCCAAGGTTCCTGTCAACAACCAGCTTCAACCCCCAGACTTGAGTTAGCAAGCCTTCAGATGATTTCAGCCCCCCGATGTCAGGTCACCTCAGCCTTTGAGTCTTCCAGCTCATGTCCCAAATATCGTGAAGCAGAAACGACTGTTCTATCCTGTCCAAATTCTTGCCCCAAGTAATAAGTGGTGAGCATAACAAATGGCCGCTTTGTAGTGTGATTTATATCCCCTTGGAAGATATTCAAACTTACATTTTTTACAAATCATATGGAGGGAAAAGAAGAAACACCTTACCAGGCTCTGAGTCACTCTTTTCAAGCACTCAATTCAAGTCAGCTCTAGGGGTGTTAAGGAGGGAAAGCCAGAAGCTCCAGTGAGACCTGCCCTCCCTCTGGGCTTTGGTCTCCTTCTTTGTCCTTCTCCTAGACTAAGGGCGCAACAAGAGGAAAAGGAAATGCCCTCAGTGTTGGGTGGGGGCACAAGGGCATGAAGCCAAGGTAACTGGAGTGCAAACTGGAGGCCAGAGATGGGGTCTGGAGGGCCAAGAAGGGCTCCTACTGATGGGGATGAAGCTTCTATTTTGGGTAGGGGAGAGTCAGGGGACTCCAGTTTGTGGTTCTTCCTTGGCAGAATTGAGAACTTCCGTCCTTCTTTTCTCTTCAGCCCAGAGACCACTCAGGAGTTGCTCACCACGGGGAGGTGGGCAGGTTTGTGGAAGCTTCTCCTCTAACCCTGGAACACACCGGCCACACGCTTATCAGTCCTCCAACCCTTACTGTAGTGCAGACGGGGGCCTTGCCTCAGACTCCTCTGCTCAGAGGGACTGATTTTAGTCATCCTTCCTCTGTCACCACAATAGCCAAGGAGAAGCCCTGAGACCCCCAAAAGCACAACCTGGTTTCAGATCCCAGTTTTGCCACATACTCACTGTTACCAAACCTCCTCGGTCTGCAATTTCCTCTTCTGTAAAAGGGGGTGATGTTACCTATCTCATAGGGCGGTCTTGTGGAATAAAGGAAATAGCAATGGTGAAGTGTTTGGCATGGTTCTTATGTGTATGTGTATAATGCTTTTCAGTGTGGCTCTTGATGAGCGGCTGCTTGAGTTTTGCACAGTCCCCTGTAAGCTTCCTAAGGTCTGTGAGCTTGAGGGGGGCTTCCTTCTGTAACAGTGGAGAGGGGCAAGTCTCTTGTAAATGTTGCTGAGCAGCTCCCCCTTCAGCCCCAAAATAATCAAACACATAGAGTTCTGCTGAGGCACCTGGATGGTTCTGCCTCCAGCATGCTTTTGCTTAGGCTGGACTGCATACGACAAGCACTCTAAAATGTCCCAACTTTATTTACATCCAGACCCCTGGCTCCGACCCCACCCCAGCTCCTCAGCTTAGCTCTGGGGGAGAAGCTGGATGCGCAGTGACGCTTCGGCCAAGGCTACAGCTCAAGGAGATGTGTGGGGTGAGCCCCTCACTTCTTCTGGGCTTGTGCCCTAGCCCGCTGAATTTTGTCAGCCGTGGCCCCATCTGTGGCTCCAGTGCAGTGGGATAATACAAGGCTCAGCTCTGCTTCATTCCTGTGCTCGATGGCCACATCTGCGGCCTGAGCCACATCCCTGTGGTTGTGAGGAGAGGAGATGGTGTCGGTCTTCCCAAGGGCACAAACCATGCCCCTCATCAGCCCACTGGCTCAGCCACCCAGCACCCACAGGGCTCTCAGATGACACACCCAACGAGAAGCAAGGCCTTGACCTTCTGCTCCGGACCCACACGGGAGGCATACTTCTTGGCCTCATATTTGTTGTGTTGCTTCATGCAGATCTCAACAAAGGGCTTAAGAGAGGAAGGGGTGGAAGGAGAAGGTATGTCAGATCCTCTCTCTTATGAGCAAAAGTCCAAAGGGCACACTGCCCCTATGCATTTCATATATCCTTCAGTACATATAACCCCATCCCACCCCCTCCCTGACGTGCAACAGTTGTGACCTCAACATTCTCAGGGCAGAAACCACCTAAACCACAGATCTGTTAGTGCCTTGAGGCTCCACCATCCACTGCCACCCTCTCACGATAGAAGTCTCTTGACTTCTCGGGGCCTGTGTTTTCTCTCATGGCTACCCTTATCCCACCTACTGATCCACCTGCCACAGAAAACAAACCTCCTCGGTGTCCTCCAACTGCCTCCCGCACATGCCCTCCCAGTGCCCCTCCACCCCCTACTCAAACAAGACCTTCCCCTTTAGGCACATGGTGTGGGCTGTGGGCCTCCTTGGAGAAACCAGCTCATTCCTTCTCTCACCAACATCTGCGTCCTAACTCAGCCTGCTCTCCCACAGCTCTGGCCCACAAGTGTGCAGACACGGGAAGCACCTGCTAACTATGTGGGACAGCTGAACAGATGCATGAATGGGCCATCTGCCTGCCTATCTCTGGGCCTGGTTCTCTCCCCAGGACTACCCTGCCTGAAGGTGGGGCACAGGGACGGCCCGTGTCTCACCAGGTAGCCAATGGGTGATTTCTTGCTCTTTGAAAACTTCTCTAGCTCCTCCCAGTCTTCCAGATCGGCCAGGGCAGTCAGCTTCAGCCACCAGAGCCTGCGGGGAAGCTGGGCTTGGAGGTATTGCAGGATGGGCAGGTGGTCCCAGGACCCATCTGCAGCCGGCTGCCCTAACCCACCTCTTGTCAGGAATGCGGAAGTCACGTGCCAGCTGCTCTGCGCGCTTGTTGTGGCCTCCAAGGATGAGGGTAGTGACCGTGTCGTGTAGAGACAAGTCCAGGAACCGGCCCCCCAACTCATCTTCTAGGCGTCGCTGCAGCCGTAGGAGCCTCATTTGATCCTCTGTGGCCTGGGACGGAGATGAGGCAGGATGGGGATGACAGGGACAAGGAGGAAAGACCGGGAGAGGAGGAAAAGGGGTTCTTAGAAAAGAGGAATGAGGGGAGCCTGGGTGGCTCAGTTGGTTAAGCATCTGACTCATGATTTTGGTTCAGCTCATGATCTCACAGTTCAGAGGCTGAGCCCTGCATCAGCCTCTGCGCTGGCAGTGCGGAGCCTGCTGGGGATTCTCTGTTTCTCTCTCTGCCCCTCCCCTGCTGGCACAGGCTCCCCCTCTCCCTCTCCCTCTCTCTATGAAAAACAAATAAACATAAAAAGAAAGAAAGAAAGAAAGAAAGAAAGAAAGAAAGAAAGAAAGAAAGAAAGAAAGCAAGCCAAACCTTGGCTGCAAACTCGTTCTTGGCTTTGTAGAAGGCGTCAGCTGCTGTCTGCAAAGCTGCAACCCGCCCCTCGATACGCTACAGCCACAAGAAGGGAAGCCTGAGCTCACAGCACAAAGGAAATCAGCCATCCTCATTTGGGGTACACTTCTCTCCCCGGTCCCTGTGCCCAGGGTTGCCAGGGCCAGCCTTACCCTCTGGGTGCACCACTCTGGTGTCCCCAGGGGGGAGGCTAGCTCCTCTGGGACCAACCACCATCCTGGCCTCACGTCTTCCCAGAATCTCCCGCAGCAGAAGGACCAGATGGGGCATGTACCAGGAGGCCTAGATCCCTGGAGAAGGAACCTGACCGACAGCCCAGCCCACGGGCCCCACCCGGCCGTGGACCTCAGACCTCCTCTGCAGCATAGCTGGCTCGGATGTGGAAGCTGCCCAGCTCCTGGTGGTTGTCATCCTGATTGTAGAGGTCCTTCAGCGTCTCTAGCTCCTGATGTTTACAGAACTGGGGCCATGGACAGGCAGGCAGTCAGCAAGGCCAACTCAGGGGCTCAGGAGGTTCCAGCCCCATCCCTGCCCAGGGCACACCTGTCGGTACAAACTCAGGGCCATGGGCTGGTTCCGAAGAGTCATGAAAAAATCTCCTCGATTTAGCTCATTCTTCAGGTGCAGCAACACCGTGAACACTAGAAGACAGTAAGGTGATGTAGGGACTCCAGCCTGGCCCCTTGCTTAGCCCAGGGGCCCCAGCCTGGCCCTCCTCCAATCCCTGCTCACCCAGATCAGTGTCCCCACTCTCAATGGCCTTGCTCAGCGCCAGTTTGCTCCTCTTCATCTTTAGGAGAAGGGGTACCTGCTCCCCAGAGCGTGGCTCATACTCCAGCAGCTGTGGGGTGGGGAGAAAGGCACAGAGAGAAGGAGCTGGCCTGGTGGCCTCTAATACCAATGTCAGAGCATCTGGACAGGGCTGGGCGCCCACACCTTGATGGCCAGCTCTGTGCGGCCACAGCCATAGGCCCGCGCAGCAATGTCAGAGTAAGAGACGCCAGGCGTATCCCCCAGCTTCTGGTTAATGGCCCGAGCAACATCCTCGTCGGACACGTCCTTCTGTTGCACCTGCAGATAGAGGGAGTGGTCACACACACCTAGATCTCACCCTTCATCCTACACCCCCACTTGCCCTCTATCACGATCTACCCCTTCAGCTCTACACTTCATATTTCCTATACCTCACCAGGGCCTGGAATCCCCTAAATGCCCTTGAACCCCACCCTATATCCTCACCTTGTAGCAGGCCCAGTGGGCCAGGATCCTGCTGACGCCCTGCACTTCGGGAAGGCGCAGGTACTCACAAATCTGGATCGCCAGGGGGTAAAGCCTCCGCAACACAAGCCTGGCAGGCAAGGGGGTAAAGGGTACAAGAGTGAGGTGGGATAGAGAGGGCAGCCTGACCCCAGCCTGTAACTCAGGCCTCCCAGATCCCAGAGAAACGGGTGAGGAACAGTGACCACAAGAACCCAGCAGGGGCTGTGACGCCTGCCCACGTACAGCCCTCCTCCCAGAACCCTGGGGTTTGCTGTACCTGTCCAGCAGCACCTGGATGGTGAGCTGCTTATATCTGTAAATTACTTGGTTAAGGATCCAGCTGGGGGATAAGCCCTATTTGCCAAGGACTTTCAGGAAGCATCTTCAGTCCCTCCCCTTCGCCTACCACCACTGGCTGTAAACATCCTTGTAGCTGGCCTGAGGATACTGGCTATAAGTGAGGGGGATCCCGATGTGATAATCCCGAATGGCATTGAGCACACGCAGGTCCTGACACATGCGCACGAAGCTGTCAGGTGGAAATCTGTCGAGGAAACACTTCCCAAAGGAGGCCGCCTGAGAAGAGCCAGAGGTCAAGAGATCTTACCCCCCCACCACACACACCCCTCCTGCCAGCACACCCCCTGCCCAGCACCAGCCCCCCAGCAGCCCCGCTGTGCAGGCCAACCCTGAGCAGGCTCTTCTGCATGTCTGGCCGGTGCTCATGTCCCGCGGCCTCGATGCACTGCTGCACGGCCTGGGTCAGCTGCCCCAGCTCCTGGATCTCCCGTAGGTACTCATCTGCCTTCTGGCTCTCTTTCTGGGGGGTGGGGGAAGGGTACCAGGGATGGAGTGCCATGACAGAGAATACCATGTGTCTGGTCCCCCGTCCCCTGGACTGTGCTTCACATGGGCTGGTTTGGAGGGGCTGCAGAGGCCAAAGCCCAAACCCCTTCAGCCCGCAGTCCACCTGAGGTGCCCATACCTCCCCCCCATATCAGCCCACAACTGCCAGCGAGGGGCCCGGATAGTAACCCTGACTTGTGCCTGGGCTGAGGTGAGTAAGGGCTCCCTGCACCTCCCCATCACCACACGGAGGACACTTCAGTGCACCTGAGCTGACTTTCTCCAGCCCAGTGTCCAGCCCGGACTCTTCTCTTGACAAGTGGCACCTGGCTGAAGTCCACCATGCCCAGCCAGGGGCACAGGGCTGAGCCAATTAAGAAGGGAAAGGAGAACATCCTGGGGCCCAGGGAGAAGCCCAGGGCTTCACCTCATACTCTTTCTGGGCCTCCAACAACAGCGCTCCAGGGGCCATCGAGGCAATTTTGAAGATCTCCTCGCTGGCCACTAGGGGAGGGAGATGGTGCGGGTTAGTGGGGCAGGGAATCCTCAGCACTCGATGACCTGATCCTGCCCTGGGTCACACGGTGCCCTTGTGAGGGCCTCACCTGGAACCTCATGTAGGAACTCGTGGGTGCTACGAGAGAAGATGCGGACCCCATCCAGCTCAGGAACCAAATAGGAGTCTTCGTCCAGCACAAACCTGAGCTTGGTCAAGGTTCCCAAGAGCATCCAGAAATGGGGCGAGGCAGGTGAACCTCCCTCTCCTTCCCTCCCACCCCCGTCCCCAGGCAGTCCTCCAAGGATACTGGATGCTCTCAGGCGCATCACCCACCACCATTAGCCGCCTCTCCCAGGCCACCACAACGGCCCTCTCTTTGCTGCGAGGGCGGCTACACCTGTGGGCAGCATCATGCACATCTGGGACACACAGGACACCGCCAGCCAGTACAGCCACATCTCCCATTCTCCCACATCACTGCTTACACCACTTTGCCTTGGTAGAGCCCTGCACATACGTGCTACCCCTTATCCTGTTCTCTGATTGACATCTGCTTCCCTCTCCCCCTGTGCTGTCAGCTCCCAGGGGCATCTGGGGCCCACAGCGGGGGCAGGGGTTTCCCTCAAGTATGCAGTGGCAGAGAAGACAAGATGCAAGCTCCACCTGGCATGGCCAGTGGACAGGATGAATCCAGGTGTTTCAGGAAACGAGGCTGTGCCCACCCCCAGCATAACACCCCCATCCTCACCAGACCATCTGCTTCGGGGGGGCCCGGATGTTACAGTTGAACTCACACAGCTTCTCCTGAAAGGGCACAGGGAACACCATGGCCTTGTCTCAGTAGTTACCAGTCTGGTTAAAAAGCCCCACCCCTGCCCCTAACAGATCGCTCCTGGACAAGGCACGGTGCCCCGTGTCATCCCAGGATCACACCTTGAGTGATGCTGTCCCCATCCAGATGTAGCCTGTGTCCGTGAAGAGTGCCAAGTGTCGGTAGGTGAAGGAGACGGCCATCTGCAGGAAGCTGCTCACTCCTGGCGCCAGGCCAAAAGGTGTCTGGGGCAGGCCGGGGGGGGACACCAGATGTTGATTTCTCCGAGCTTCCCCACTGCCTCCCTCACCCCTTCCATTTCACTCCAACCCGGGACCCTCACCACTGCGGAGCAGGCGGACTGGTCCAGGAGGTAAAGATCAGGCCCCACAGCCAGAAGAATGTGTGCAACTCGGTCCTGGCAGAGGGCGGTCCAGCACGTAGGTGCACCCTGCAGACCTGTGGCCGGGGAAGAGGACGGCTTCAGGATGACCAGAGCCCACAGCCTCCGCCTCTGTTGGCCCCACAGTCTGGAGACACATCTGTGGGCACTGAATGGCTGTCTCGGGGATGTCAGGGCTCACCTGGCACCTCTGGCATCCGGCGGAGTTTGAGGTCACTGACATTGGCACTGAGAATAAAGCGGTGGGCCCCGGTGAGGATGGCCACGCCTGAACCAAACTCAGTATGGAAGATCCGGGCGTCCAGAATCCGGTTCTGGAGCACCTCCTGGGGAGAGGGGCCGAGGGTTGAGGGGGCCACAGAGTCATGGACTGCATCCCTTTCCCCAGCCCCCTGTGGCCCCTACATTGCCCATGCTGAAGTGTCTCCGGAAGTCACCGTGAAGCCCGTATACCAGAACTCCACCATCCTCCTGCACGCAGAGCAGCTCCTCTTCAGCTGACCAGCCTAGGGACACCACGGTCCCACTCTTCCACTGCAGAGGAGAGGGAAGTTCCTGAGGCTGTCCTTGGGGCACGGACCCAGCCAAGCCCCAAGGTGGGTCAGGCATGCTCACCAGCAGACTGGCCAGAGGCAGGCCGGAAGCAGAATAGATCTCAAGCACTGGCCGTACGCTGGCAGCCTTCTCCTTCCGCCACGGGTTCCTCAACAGTGCTGTCGTTTACGAAGAGATTTTCTGCCCAGGTCCCCAGGCCCACCCCATATGAAGCAGGCTTCAGGAGAACCACAATTTAAAGCATCTCAGTAGGGGGTGAGAGGTCGGGGGGGAATCGGAGTGGCACACATCAGCAAGAACCACCCGACAGCAAGGCCCCCGAGAATCATGGACCTTGAGTCCACCCTATTGTCCCGGAGCAGGCAGTGGCAGACGGGTGACATACCAATGGGGCCCCCGTAGGGCGCAGCAGCTACCAGGCAATCCCTGAGTTCCTCCTTCAGGTCCCAGTCCATGCTGTACAGCTCATATTTCCTGCCCGTGCAGAGGCAAGCAGAGATTAGCCTCCTCATGACCCTGCCTCCAGATGGGAGTGAGCCCCAGAAGAACCCCTAAAACCTCCATTTGCCCTTCACAAGGCAGTCGAGGCCCCCCACAGGTGGGAGAGGGTGATGACCAGAAACATCTAGGGCCGCTGACCACTAGTTGCGTAGGGACTGCAGGTGAGGGAGCAGACGGTGCTGGCAGTGCAGGATGTGGTTCTCCTGTCCAAGGATGGCAGGAGCTCCTGGCATAGGAGGCCGGCTGTGCAGCCAATATCCAGGTAGGACTACTAAGGTAGGGCCAGGGTGGGGTGGGCTGGCTTTGGGCCTGCATCAGCAGGAAATAAGACCCTCTGAGAGAGTCTCTCAGGGCAGGCAGACTTTCCTCTATGCCTGGTTCTTAACACCAAATCAGGTTGTGGGCTTTATAGCCAGGGGTCCAGCTCAACACTTGCTGATAATGAACTCCGTTTTAGAGGCATTGAGTTAGCAGTGGCTGAGAGAAATCCAAGAAGAGCTCTTCGGTGAGTCCAGAGCTGGGGACAGAGTCCTGGGTAGATGTCAATCTCTGAACGCTCAGCTTATGCAAGGTAACACAAATCACAAGCCCGCATGAGATGGCTGCAATCTAAGACATGTGGATCTCCAAGAGAGTGCACACTGTGTGAAGACAGCGTGGGACACCTGACACATGCCATCATTTGATGGCTCAAGGTGGAGACATGAGGACAGAGAAGGAACGGGCACTATCCCAGAAAACCAAGAGAAAGCAGTATTTAAGGGGAGTGTTTCCTCCAGTATCATTTCAGGAGTCATCCTGATAAGAATCAGAAAGATGCCTACTATTACCTTCTATTTGACATTCTTTTGGGGGTTCTAGCCAAAATAATTTAAGAAAAAAAAAGAGAGAAGTTTTTATTTTGGAGAAGGAGTGAGTTTGCTCTATTCACAAATAATGTGATTGTCTACTTAGAAAATCCAAAGCAGGACGCTTGGGTGGCTCAGTTGGTTAAGCATCTGACTTCGGCTCAGGTCATGATCTCCCAGTTCATGAGTTCGAGTCCCGCATCAGATGACTCGAGCTCCGCTTCAGGTGAACACAAGCCCCACCTCGGGTAAAAAAACGAGCCTGGCTTCGGGTGAGTCACGCTTCTCTCTCTGTCTCTCTCTCTTCCAGCCCCCCTGTCTCTCTCTGCTCCTCATGGGATTCTCTCTCTCTCTCTCTGCCCCTCAATCACTTGTGCCCTCTCTCTCTCTCAAAGAAAGAAAGAAAGAAAGAAAGAAAGAAAGAAAGAAAGAAAGAAAATCCAAAGCAGTCTATGGGAGAATGAACAAAAGAGCTCAGTACGGCAATCAACAAAAACCTACATGTTTTCTATACCAATAACTTTTCTATACCATAGCAAGAATCGATTAGAAATATAACTCTAAAAGATCCTAATCATGACAGCAATAAAATGACGATAGGCAAGAATAAACCTAACAAACATTTTTACAAAATAAAATCATAGGGGGGGAAAAAAGAGAGGCAAACCAGGAAATAATACTCCTAACTACAGAGGACAAACTTAGGGTTACTAGAGGGGAGGTGGGCAGGGGGATGGGTTAAATAGGTGGTGGGCATTACAGAGGCCACGTCTGTGATGAGCACCAGGTGTTGTGTGTAAGTGATCAATCACTAAATTCTACATCTGAAACTAACATTACACTGTATGTTAATGAACTGTAATTTAAATAAAAATTTGAAAGAAAAAAATCAAAGGACACAGAAGACATGAAGAAACATCCCAAAATGATCTATGAGTACACAAGAATTCCAATAAAAATTCTCCCAATTGGGGGGGGGGGGGTACTAGAAGAGCAAACTGATTCCAAAACTCATTTGCAGAAAAAAAAAAAATATCTTAAACAGAAAATGTTGGAAAATATCTAAAAATATTTTGAAAATAAAACAACAGATATATACCAAATATCAAATACAGTATATAAAACGAAAGTTGATTAAAACTGTTGTTTTGGCACAGGAATAAGCAAATAGATTGATGGAAGAGAAAAGAGTCCAGAAAAAGAACCGGGAATTGAGCATTACTAGCATTACTAGAGATGGCATTTCAAATTGTTGCAAATTGATACTTGAAATGAGACAATGGGCCATATGGAAAGAATTTCCATGAACGCTATTTCATTACTTAATCTCTACAATAAAATATTTTCCAGATGGAATTCAAACTTTGAATGTTAAAAAAAAAATAAAGCCGTATCAGAACAAATCTTGGCTATTTTCACATTCTCAAAATAGAAACAATTTCTAAGCATGATACATAACCCAGAAGTCACAAAAAAAGAACAACAAATGAGTCTAAATAAAAATGGACTTCTGTAAACTTCTATATAAAAAGGGGTAAAACAATACATGTGCTTTGTATTTGCTTCCATTTGAAAAAAAAGATTCTGGAAAGATTTCTAAGAATCTAGTAACTGGTTACTGGTAGGTGACGGGGTGGAATCCAGTTGAATAGGGACAGGGATGGGAAAGGGACTTTGAGTTTTTAAATCACTTGAATGGTTATTTATTAAAATGATTAACATTAAAAAACTTTCATAGATTTAAAAAATCCACTGAAGACAAACTATGAAGACAAACAACGATAAGGGATTTTCGAAAATGTCTGTGACACATGTGGAAAAGAGGTACTTTTCTTAAAAATACAAAAGGCTCTGAGTCATTTTCAAAAATGAACATAAAACCAAAAGAAAATAAAAATGGTCAAGAGCTATAATCATACTATTTTATGTGAAAATATTTAAAAACTAAACACAAAAACCTTGAGAAAATATGAGCTAATATTTTTATAATGTGAACTATGGCAAAGTCTTTCAGAGCAAGACAGAAAACCTAGAAATTATCAAGGGAAAAAATGATAGATTTTATTACATAAAAATTAAAATTCTGTATATTGGGTGGCTCAGTCAGTTAAGCGTCCGACTTCAACTCAGGTCATGATCTCACGGTCCGTGGGTTCAAGCCTCGCGTCGGGCTCTGTGCTGACAGCTCAGAGCCTGGAGCCTGTTTTGGATTCTGTGTCTCCCTCTCTCTCTGCCCCTCTTCAGCTCACACTCTCTCTCTCTCTCAAAAAAAAAATAAAATAAAATAAACTTTAAAAAAATTCTGTATATAAAAAATATGTAAGAGTCAAGTGACCTTTTAGTTCTCCCCCAAATCCTAGAAAAACCCCCTTCAGTACAGTGCAGGTTAAATAAACTATGGGATGCCCATTCTGGGGAATATTATGTGGCCATTAATAAGCTGAGTCTGTGTACTGACATGAATGATTTCTAGATGTCCTGTTAAATACCAACAAAAGGTGCAGCTCAGTAGGAACCATGTTAACCCATTTATTTTATACAAAAACTGAGCACATACCTTTGACAAGCGTATTTACATATAATTACATGTAGGTGTGTAAACACATGGAAAAATGCTCAGAGACATGGAGCTGAATTCAGCCAGAGATAGTGGGTACCTGTGGGGAGGGTGGTGAATGAAGGAGGGATGTTGGGGGACTGCCAACTTTTAGACTTTTGCATTATTTGAATTTTTGATAACCCATGTGCATTTTTTGACATTTTGTTACTAAAATCATTCCATGAAAATCTGATGGGAAAATAGATGTTCACACAGACCTACCACGCCAGTTATCAATTTATTGCCACTTAGCTCCAAAATCACCCTCCGACACTGTTCTGTGAGAACAGACAGCGTGTCTTTATGCATTTCTCCTCCACAGTGTGATCTTAACCTTTCTCAGTAGAGGGCGCTTGGAGGGATGCGGAACGGGCTCTCCTGACTGCTTCCAGTTGGAGTTCACCCGGAATCACCTTCCCGTGGCTCCCTGGTCCAGACACCACACTCCTAGACTCCTGCCCATACCAGGCTCTACTTCCTCTGCTGCCAAGATGCCTGCCTGTCCACTGGCTACCCTGCCTGTGCCCTTGGGTTTCCACTGACCCCCTCCGCACACCTGTGCACCCAACCACTGCTTGTGGCTCAGCTTACAGACACCATGTGCTCCCGGCTGCCTCTCTGCACCATTACCACCATTCCATTCCATGCCCACCCCCTTGGCCACCAGCCGCAGCTCGCCTGTGTCCCCCTACCTTCTGAACTCCAGAGGGCTGCTTCTTGCTTGCCCAGCAACCGGGACCAGCTTTGGTCCGGGCAAACCAGTGAACTTTACTCTCCAGTGAGCTGCAATTTTTATTTTCTCCAGCAAGATCTGAATTCCAGCCTGGGGAGGGGATTCCCTTCCAAGTTTGTCATTCTTTGGGTACTCTCCCTCAGCCCTGGGTGATTCACACAAAACTTTCTTTTACCTTATACTTACTCTTTTATCAGTTCAATAATTCTTCATGTTTATTAAACTCTCTCAGTTTAAGTCTCCCAACTGGACCCAAACTGCTATAAACCTGGTGCAGGGAGTGGTGGCAGAAGACAGACTCCTAAAGATGCGATTTGGGGATTGGTTTGGTTGTGTGCTTGGGCTCGAGGGCAGTGCTGAGCTCCCCGGCAAAGGGAAACAAATGCTAGTCACCTACTGCATGAAGTGGCACCACAATTAATCAAGCCTGCGGTTTACTGTGGTGAAATGCCAAGTCAAACATGCACCTTGGGGTGACTTCTGGGCCTGAATGTATGGCAGTAATGGTGATTATAAGGGCTGGGGATTGGGACAGATTATTTTGAGTGCACTTGGACATGTACAAAGAGAAAACGACAAGTTTGCGCTCATTAACTTTCAGCTCAAGTCATGGTCTGAGAAGCAGAAAGCTTCCATTACAGCCCTAACAGAATCTCTTCTTTCTTGTGGCCACACAGCCTCTCACTGCTAAAAATCAAACACAAAATTTAATTGTGTGGGTTGTTAAATCATCAACATACCATTTCTCGTGTGAGAATTAATGGCTCTTATGAGGAAAAGAATTGGATCCTGA